GAAGGAGGGGGAAGAGTCCCTCCTGGGGCCAGGCAGCCTCATAAAGCCCCCCTCCTCACCCCACCGCAGGGGAGGGTGGAGGTAGGAAAAGAGTTCCCCACAAACACCACCACTAAACAGAGACCCTGTCCCTGTCCCAGCCCCACAGTGGTGGGGGAGAGGGAGGAGGGGAAAGAATTTCCCTCTGGGGCCAGGCACCTCTGTGTGCCTGGATTGCTCCCAGCTGTCAGGGAGCCACTGGGACGGGCCTGCTGGAGCCTGGCAATCCCCACCCTTGTCAGCTCAGCTTTCCTGTGGAAGGGACGGCTGTTCTAGCGCCCCAAGCTGCTGGGTTGAGCCACTGCAGGCATGTGCTGAATGTCTATCCACTTGCAAACCAGTTCACTCTCTGCAGGTTGGACTAACATGCAAAGACTGAATCAATTCAGGCTCAGGCTTTTTGAATGTCTGTCCCTCTTCTTGGAGAGAGAGATTCATTGTGCCCTGCCCCATCTGTGCACACCTACTCACAGAGCAGTCACAGCAAACATTTTGCCTGCTCCAGAAACATGCAGAAATAGTCAAGGCTTGTTTTCCCAGCAGATAGCATGAGTCGGGATGCTTTTCACATGTGAAATATCCTGGCTATAGTCCTAAATGCATATGTAGGAAGCAGACACAAAGGACAACTACTTTTTTTTCTCATTTTCATGTAGAAAGAAAGCTTGAAAAATGTGCCTCCTCCACCAAAAAAAGAGGTGTTGCTCCCTTCCTCCCCAGCTTGTTTTTGACTTCAGAGTATCTGTTCTTCTCTTTCTTTCTGGAGGATTCATGGGATAGCTAGAGAATGGCAATTGCACTTTCTCAGCCCTCAGTTGCAGGATTGGGGTCATTGAGCTTTTCACAAAGACCCACTTTTCTCTAAAGTCTTTCTCAGACTCTTATATAAATAAGCATTACCAAAAGCAAACAAAAGATAAAATAGATTTATAGGATTTTAAAGGGAAGACCTCTTTTGCAGCAAACTGAACAGGTGAAAATATTTAAAAATGCTGCAGTTCTGCGGGAATCTGAATGTATATTGCTTTAAACTATAGTGAAATAATACAAAAGCAGTAATATTAAATTCCATCTAAACAATTGATAAAGGCTTTTTTTACAGAATTATATTTTTAGGTATTAAAGGCTCCTGTTAAATACTGACATTAACTTGTGTATTCAGATTCTTTTTAAAATGTGATACTTAAAAAAAAAAACTGACCCATGCCCCCTGCTGGAGAAGAGAAGTCTTACTTTTTCAAATCATTCTTCCTTTTTCCTCTTTGGATTAATTGGTTTTTTTGGTATTGTGTTTTTGTTAGACTGCAGCTGAGCACATATTCTCATACAAATAATTGACAGGCAGTGGTAGAAGCTCAGCATGTTCTACATGCTTTTTATATTGATACATTTCTGTGGGATGTTTCAGTTTAGGAAAATTCTGCATTAACTCCTCTGGGCTGGAATGAACACATGTTGTACAGAATTAATTTATTAGATTTCCTGTATTTCTGGTCTGTTTGCATGTATAGGTTTTTCTCCTGAACACCCATTGTCATAGAATCTTAGCATGTAAAAATATTTTAATTAAAACGGTATCTTTCATTCTCTTCAACTATAGCAGACAACATGAAACACCCCTTGATGGCAACTTGATAAGCCAAGAAATGATGTTGAAGCGTCAAGAAGAGGAAATGGTGCAGCTACAAGCTAGAATGGCACTTAGGCAGTCTCAACCTAGCCTCTGTCCAGGAGATCCAGTTAGGTCATCAGTGCTTGACATTAGTAGAGATCCTCTGAGAGAGATTGCATTGGAAACAGCCATGACCCAAAGAAAACTAAGGGTAACTGTTTCTTAATTCATTGCAAAAGTAATGTGTCGATTTATTTTGAAGGCTGAAATCAACTTTATGGTGTTTAGGGTTTCAGAATCTTTCCCATTGATCAAGATTCTAAGTTGCCATACCCAAAAGAAATGTGAGGTGGCTGTTTTTATCATTGGAGAAACAGCTCTCATCAGACAAACCAGTCCACCTGTTGTGTTGAGGAGTCTATAGCTATGCATTCTAGTACAGTATCAAGAGAGGCATTTAGCTTATTGGGAGATGGTAAGCCAAAAAACAGATCCTTGGCTCTTAAATGTCAGAAGTGTAAGCTTCTTCACTGTCACATGTTGTAATGTGTACATTCTTAGAATGTAGTTTTTTCTGGTGTTTGATATCCATCTCTCACATGGTCTCTAGGATGGATGCAAACATATTTCAACAGCATCAGGCATCGTTAAACAACCAAGATGGGACAACTGTGTCTGGCTTTGAAACCAATCAGAGAATCAGCCATGCTAAAATCCCAATGAGAGCTTTCCCACCCCCACTACAGTTCACGCTGTATTATAATGAGAAATCCTTCTTTCCATTCAAACTCTTACAATGTTGCTATGAGTAGAATGAAATTAGGACTGATGGGTTTCTGGTTCTAGTTTCTCTCATGGTTCTCAAACAGTGCAGATTTGATTTAAATCAAATCAGTTTAAATCATTATTTAAATCCCTGGTCAGGAAGCCTTGATTTAATCATTGTTTTCTACAAAAAATGCATTCTTGTTGTTTGATATAACTTTCATTAAAATATTCCCAGATGATCTCTTTTATGGCCTGGCAAGCCTACTGCCATGATTGGTTTTCCCTTCTACCATACCATTCCCTTACCAAATCTCAAATCAATGGAGAGGCTATACTCTTGAAACTTATCCCTCAAGACTTCTGGAATATTCTGTTCAAAATGGTTCTCTCTTGTTTCTACTGCCCCTCCAGAGGCTAGAGAAGAGCAGGGGAATGAGCAGGGGGCTGGGGACCAGCGTGGGTGGGGGGCCAGCAGCTATCACCCCTGGCGGGGCCTGGGACTCTGCAGACAGGGTAGTCCATGTGCTGTGGTGGGGGCTCTGCCCTGTGGGGGGCAGGGGGGACCATTGGCGATGCATAGGGGTTGCACATGCACTCCCTAAGCATGGCGGTGCACCCCCTCAAAAAAGGTGCCACCGACACTGTCAGTGGTGCCTGTCGGCGGTTGCTGCTTGCCACCCCCACCCTCCAGGCTCAAATTTGCACCGCTTGTATTTGAGCTGCTGCAAGTGCACGTGTTTGCATGTGTGGACGCGCCCTGTGAGATTCCTTAAAAGGAGTAGGGAAGTAACTTTATTCAAAATGTACAGCAATGAAGTAAATCAAACTCCTCTTCTAACATATCTTGATAAATTAATAGTTTCATAGACTTAAATTCACCTAACCTTTTAAACAGGTAAGTTAGCCTCATCAGTGGCACTTGGGGCCAATTTATGTATTTTTTTCATCCCACTCCCCCTGGGAAGGCAAGTAACTCTATGTAAGTAGTGCATAGGAGAGTGACCATCCACTTTTGATCCAGCATTCTAGTATATAGGGCATTTGCCCAGGAAATGTGATGCACGGTACTAGGGCGCTTGCCTCCAGAAACATTTGAATATACCTTTCCCACTTCCCAGCATAGTGCCCTTACTACCAGCCATTGGTTAGGCATTGCCAAGAGCACCTTTCACTCCTCCTCTTGAACATAGCCCACTGGTAGCCAAGTGGACAAAATACTTTGGATCAAAAGGAAAGCCAAGGAGAGTATAGCGCATTGACTTGGACACGCTCCTCTAGAAGGAAAAGGACTCTGAGTTGTGGCCCATGCCCCAATGATGTTTCTGCATTTTGTAATTATTAGTCACTGGGTAAGCAATGGGTTAGTTTCTGCCCCACTTGGGCCAGGAGCAAAGGCAGGGGCCCCTAGTCTGTGTATAAGGCTGAGACTGAAATATTTTTGTGTGTTAGTTTTGAGCATTCAGTCTTTTAACCATGTCAATAAATGACAGATAGGCTGTGCCTAGCACCTGGCAATCCAAAGGCATGTTGCATGCGAGAGAAAATAAGATTTGTACAGTAGTAAAATAGGTGAAAAATGTTATGCATCAGTTGTTGTTACAGCAGTCAGTGTGACATCTCTCACATGCTACCACAGTTGCATTCTTGCAACTAACTCGGTTTCTACAAATATTATAATCTTAAATCAGTATTGATTTTGGCTTTGCACTTTGCCCTTTAAGAGTTATTGCTTCTCAGTTTCTTGCTTCTGGTATACGAAGTGTTAATTCAGACTTTTATGCTTTGCAGAATTTCTTTGGGCCTGAGTTTGTAACAGTGACCATTGAGCCATTCATCTCCTTGGATCTACCAAAGTCAATCTTGGTAAGAAACATTTATTTAGGAGTCAGTTACAGTAGAAAGGTATTAAACTGTCAATACACTTGCATGGCAAATGCAAATTTTATGGGTTCTTTTCTTCAGACTAAGAAAGGGAAAAATGAGGATAATCGACAGAAAGTAAATGTAATGCTTCTAAGTGGACAGAAGCTGGAGCTGACCTGTGATACCAAGACCATATGTAAAGATGTCTTTGATATGGTTGTAGCCCATATTGGTTTAGTGGAACATCACTTGTTTGGCTTGGCTACCTTAAAAGGTAAGATCAATATCTTAATTTAGTTGGTGTAGTGTAAAATTACTAGAATTGAATATATACATGTAGTAGAGGACAGATAAAGGAAAAGTTATGATGAATAGAACACCAGACTAGTCATTTATGACTCTTTGGGTCCCCTTCTGCTGCCCTCACACATGCCCTTCCTCACATCTATTAGTATATTATCTTGTTCTGTGAATGATCCCATTTGCTCAAATGAGCAAAGCGCTGTGCAAAATGAGCGACAGAAGCAACTTCTGAGTAGCCTGGTATCTTTGGGTGCCTGTACACGAATGCGAAGGCTGCTCCAACACTCTGTAATTACAGTGCATTGGAGCAGACTCAGTTAAACGAGCCTGCTGGAGCATGGTTATTACTGTGCTCCAGCAGATTCCCATGTCTCATGCATCAGTCCCCCCACGCTTCAAAATGGTGGTGGGGGCGCTTGTACTAAAGCTCGTTGAATGAGTTTTAGTGCAAGCGCTCCCATTGCCATTTTGAAGCGTGGGGACACTGATACATGAGACGTTGCAGCTCTTTAATTAGAGCAGCTCTCAGAGCCACTCTAATTAAAATGTTGCCTCCCTCCCCCACCCCCAGAGCACATGTAAAAGTGCCCCTTGTTAGTCTGCATTTTCTTTGCTTCTCAGCTTGTTTGTTACTTATAGTTTCTATTCAACACCGTTCTCAGCCCCTTTCCACTACTTGAAATTGGGTCTGGTCCTAATTGCTCTGTTAGAGTTCTGTTCTGCTAACCTTACTCTGACTCAACAGAACTTTACTATACAGATAGTCTGGCTAGGATCATTAGAACTACTGGTGTGGAAAGGTAAAAATATCTATAGAAGGGAGGCAGCACTGAGCCTTAGCAATTCTATATTACATTTGGTCAGAAATTGCCCAAATGAGTCATTCTTTAGTTTAAAAATGTCAATTTGTCAAACTTGGTATAATCCACAGGTTCGATTTGTTTGACAGCAAGTTTCTTACCCACTTGCCTATCCCTCTGGCAAGCTGCCATGGAAACAGGAGCCTGGGAGCCTTGGCTAAGATGGGATTTCTGATGCTTCCAGGCACTCCAGTTCATGCTCCGGGCAGTTTAGGGAAGCTTACACTGTTTTGCAGAAATGCAATTAAAATAGCCTTCCTATTTCTTTTTTTTTCTGAACAAAATTGGATAATTTCCTATGCCGTAGAACATTTTACACTGTTGAGATTTTTTTTTTTCTCAATGCGGAACACATTTTTTGAAAAATACCAGAATTTCCTGTGGAATGATAATTCTGCCCTGCCCTATTCAGTTTGTTAAATCTTTTACTTAATCTAGTCTCTGTGATCTATTTCAGCTGTAGGGAGCAAACCAAAACTTTTACAGTGCCTAACTGGTGGGTACATTAGGTTTTGTGAATAACAGGAATAAATGACCACTCCATTAAGACCACTTAACATACCATGTTTTCTCACATAGAACACACCCTAGAATAAAATACTCGCTGTGTTTTTTAAAGGCAGAATGAAGAAGAAAAATCTTTCTTTGTAGTAAGTAACTGAGTAACAGCAGCTAGGGAGTCAAGGCTACTTATTGTTCTGCTCCCTGTAGCTAGGGATAGACATTACAAATAAACTGGTTTAAGTGATCAGAAAGTGGTTTAAACCTGTAACAAAACATAAATTCAGTGCACATAAAGCAGTTTCAAAATGGCTGAAACTGGTTTAAGATAAATGTGGTTGAGTGTAGTATCAGACTCAACTGATTTCTTGTGCAGGGACCAGGACTCCCCCACCGTGTTTCAGGACGGACTCGAGGGGAACACCTCAAGACCTAAGGTTGAGGAGGACCGGGTTAGAGTGCTTCTGGAGGGGCTGGACGTGTTCAAGTCAGCAGGTCCAGATGCTCTCCACCCCAGGGTGTTGAGGGAGCTAGAAGGTGTTATTGCTGGGCCTTTGGCATGGCTTTACGAGCGCTCGTGGTGCTCGGGCCAGGTGCCAGATGATTGGAAGATAGCCAATGTGGTCCCCATCTTTAAGAAAGGGAGGAGGGAGGACCCAGGCAACTATAGGCCCGTCAGTCTTACCTCAATCCTGGGGAAACTCTTTGAGAAGATCATCAAGGAGCACATCTGTGATGGGCCGGCATTGGGGATGATGCTCAGGGGCAACCAGCACGGTTTCATTAGGGGCAGGTCATGTCAAACCAACCTGATTGCCTCTTACGATCAGGTCACAAAAGCATTGGATGCAGGTGTTGCCATGGATGTAGTCTTTCTGGACTTGCAAGGCCTTTGACACTGTCTCCCACCCTGTCCTCATTAAAAAAACTAGGCACCTGTGGCATCGATGCCTACACGGTCAGATGGATTGCTAATTGGCTGAAGGGTCATACTCAGAGGGTGGTGGTGGATGGGTCATATTCGACCTGGGGAAAGTGGGCTTGGTCCTTGGGCCCGCGCTGTTCAATTTCTTTATCAGCGATTTGGA